GGGTAGGATTCATGTTGTTGTTAAATCATTTTAAGGAATCGCTTAACATTGTTCTCTCAGCAATTAGTCTGTTGTGTTACTCTAATTTGTGTGTTCATTAACTTGTGTTAAACCGTTCAGCAGAAGTAACCATAAGCGAGAGTGGTAGGCCTAGTCATTAATAAAACCTGTGAGTGAACCTTTGTCTGTGTTGTTCATGAAGAAGAATCCAATAAAGGTTCTTCAAAACTCCCACCTGATGAAGTCTTGAACTACAACATGAGCTACACCTCTCTCTCTGTAGCTGTGAGGTGTCACGCAGCAATATTGTGCTTGACGCATGTGCACTGTTATAAAGAACTTGTAAGCTTTACTATAAAAAATCCTCGTAACAATTTGCACTTACTTTTGTTAAGTAAATTTAAATGCTAAAAATTCATGTAATATTTACTCATCATTATCTAGTGAACTTAATAAGAATATAGTTAAGATTTGTGAATAAATCAGGTAAATTTTACTTAATTTGATCAAGTGCATGTTATAAGATTTAATTGAGCAAATTAAGTAAAATTTACCTGATTTATTCACAAATCTTTAACTATACTCTTAATAACTTTTACTAGATAATGATGAGTAAATATTACATGAATTTGTAGCATTTAAATTTACTTAACAAACGTTAGTTCAAATTTGTTAGAGGATTTTTTTTTCAAGTACATGTCTAATCCTTTTGGTCACAAAGACATTGTTTTTGAAAAGTTTGTTGGAAACAGCTGGAAATTTTCCATGAGAGTTTTTTTTCTCATAATCTGAGATATTTAAAATTTAGTCTAGATTGAATTCCCATGTTTAAGAGAATCGTTTCATTCGGCTGTTTCCTGACAGAATCCAGTTTTGACWGATGCTTCTTGATGGCCAGAGATGAAAACTGATATAGTTTTCATCTCAATCTGCAGAGAGCAGCCTGTCTCTTTCATTTACAGTCCAAGTGCCTTTGCGTTTGTAGCAACACTCGAGATTAAGGCCAGCTCCAATTATCATAAAGAGGCGCTATGTCATTATGATTGTTAGTCAGCGTGTTTCTTCTGCTCTCCCCACGAGCAGCATCAGTGAAATACCCAGCTGCTGCAACCATACAGAGGCAGTTCATGGTTTTTAATTAACAAAAAACAAGAAGATAAGAAGAACAAAAGAAAGAGCAGCAAGCAGAGGAACCCTTCTAAATGACAGTTGAGTCTGAGAGGAGGTGCAGCAGATGTCTCTTTCAGAGGCGTGCTGCTGCAGTGAATGTGGCTCTCAGCCCAACATTCCCCTGCTCTCTTTGGCTTCAGTGACACACCGTGGAGTGAGTGCATCATGAGTGGGTTTTATTTGCAGCAGCATCCCTCTTCAGCTCCACTACGACACRATGAAGGCTTTATTTGAAGCAGAAGGCAGCGTGTTGTGTTCAGGCAGCTGTGCCACCAACAATAGCTGCGTTTCCATTGCAAATGTGCGCAAAACTTTGTCGATATTCTGTTAATGTCGAAAAACACAGTTTCACAATTGCGATGTTTCAGTAAGAAATGCTATTAAAGTCACACATGAATACGTTTGTTCTTGCGATGTCATTACAAACATGGCGGCGATGGATGTAAACACACCGCGACACTAGCGCTCATCATCAGAGGAGACGTCGGCGTCTTTTATCGAGGCTTTCCAGMGACAAGTCYCTACTTGGGAGCSGCTACGTATGCTGTGTTTCTGGGAAATTGTAGTCGCTGAGTTTACTATTTTCTTTTGTTACTTCTGTATTACTACTACTTCTTCTTCCTATTATCTTCTTCTTCTTCGTCTTTTTCACCAGTAGAAACAACCGGTTCTTGATCACGTGACTCCCGTGATGTGAAAAAAGTGTTTCCATTGCAGAAAAATTTGTGAAAAACACCAATTTCGATACGGCCGAAAAACCACCTCATCCTAGGGCAAAAATATTTTGTTGAAAAACGTAATTTAAAAAAAAAATGACGTGTTTCCATTGAGCAAATTTATTTTCGAAATTCTAATTTGCGCATTTTCATGGTMAATGGAAACGCAGCTAATGAGGCAGAGTTGAGGTTCAAAGAGCTCAGCTGCCGATTTCATCTGCACCTCCTCTCCTCTGTTTCAGGTGAAATACCGAGCTCAGAGGAACATCACCCGCCAGGCCGTGCTGAAGATGGGGGCGGTCTGGGTGTTGGCCTTCCTCCTGTACGGTCCTGCCATCATCTTCTGGGAGGCCATCGTGGGTCAGAGCATCGTTCCGGCCCATGAATGCTACGCAGAGTTTTATTTCACTTGGTACTTCCTCCTCAGCGCTTCTACCTTTGAGTTCTTCACCCCGTTCGTCTCRGTGGCCTTCTTTAACCTCAGCATTTACCTGAACATCCATCGCAGGAACAAGAACGGGAACGCCTGCCCCGAGGAGGACGTCAAGCCCAGGAAGAAGTTGAAGAAGCACAAGGATGGAGCTGGCTGGTCCGTGTTCTTCGTTAAGACCAGGAAGGTCATGTCTAGCGAGCCGGCAGCCATCTCTGCGGTAATTGAGGACGAGGACATACTGTCGCCCTCCTCCAGCGAGTGCCCTGACACCAGTCAGATCTTTGTTCAGAGAGAGAAATTCTCTCCTCACAGGAAAAACTCCAGGCTGTTTCAGCCCACGGCCTCCTGCATGGCTCCCGGCCGGAGGACTCCAGGATCACGTCTTTCCAGAGACAAAAAGATTGCCAAATCTTTAGCCATCATAGTCTGCATCTTTGGAATATGTTGGGCTCCGTACACTCTACTGATGATCATCCGTGCAGCCTGCGGCGGTGAATGTGTGGCAGATTATTGGTACGAGATTACATTCTGGCTTCTTTGGCTGAACTCAGCCATCAACCCGTTCCTGTATCCTCTGTGCCACAGCAGCTTCCGAAGGGCTTTCTCTAAGATACTGTGTCCTAAAAGACAGTCTGTGCAGCCTCAGATAGAGGCTCAGTCCTGTTAGACACATTGTTTCACAGCCATAATTTATAAACTCTGATGGTCATACACTGTAAAAACCCCACATAATGTTCTTCCATAAATAAAAAAGATGTTTGTTATTCCAGGAGCGCAGTAAGAACATACAACAGCAATACAACGATGCAAAAGACAGAAATGTTCTTTAAAGGGATCCTCGATTAGTTGTAACATTAGATTTTATTTGATAAACATATAATTTAACTGTA